TCTCCCCAAAACCCCAAAACCCCAAAACCCCGAGTCTTTACTACTCAATTGAATATTTTTTCTTACAAGCAACAGTGTGTATAAACTTAGAAAGAAGTAATAGTGGATTACTTGAAGAGTTGTATATCTATAGAGCCAGTTCTTTGTCCAAGGCCTAGATGGGTCCTACCATCCTTCCTATAACTTGTGATACTCTTCATCTGAAATGTCTTTGTTGCGTTTGATTTTCATTTCTTGAAAAATTTGGATAGTTTAGATGTGCTAATCTTCTTCAAGTCTTTGTTCATCTTTTTACAAAATTCTAAGGTAGAGTCGATATTCTGATGATCAACTGAATTAGCCCTCTGGCTTAGAGGATGCACATATGTTTTTGATTTGTTCTTAACCCTCTGTTTCGACTTTGAATGCTTACTCTTTGACCTGGTCTTTGACCGCTTTGAACCTAAGAATATAGCAGAAAATAATACTTTTAGGAGGTCTACCTTCCGGCTGATCGGGAATCTTCTTTTTATATTTAGATTTGCTACAAGATTCATAACAACTAAATACCTTGCTAAGTAATTATTTTCGAAATGGGTGACTGGTGTTCATGACTTTAGCTTAGATTTGGCACTTTCTATCCTTACCTTCAAGGACTCAAGTCTTTGTTTCTTAGTATTAACAGGTGTCTCTATAGATTCAAATAAAATCAATACCTCTTCCAGATGGAGGGAACTTGCTCATAGGTTTGTCAAGATAGTCCTTGTATTTGTTCTTCTCCAGATCCAACAGAGTACTGTAGCCCTGTGCTTCCTTGGAAAAAGAAGGTCCATGCTTCAGCCTCGAGTAGCTAGAGTTCTTACTACACTTGCTAGTATTCGATTTCACGTTAAGGTTGGACCTATCTGTATGAAACTCATTTCCTATTGTCAAACAGTGTCTTGAGGTTTCACTGAGTAACTTTTTCACATCCTAAATGATTAGCTAGGGTTTTCACCTTCGAGTAATAATTAGATTTATCATTAGCATTAGAGCCTCATAATTTTAGCTTAGTTTTAAACTTTTTTGAGTCCATTCTTTTAGGGATATTCCTATCGGTCAGACAACCACAGTACTTATAAGTCGAGTCATTCCCAGTATGGTTAATAAAATTCCTTGTAGCGTCAGAGATCCCCTTGAGTTGCTGAATAGTGCTGGAGATACCTTTGGAATACCCATTGGTTCCTTTAGAATTCTGCCTTTTAGACTCAGTGCTGCCATCAGGGTTATTCCAGAGAGCAGATTTATGCTTCTTTACCTTATTTTAGCTATATTGTAGCGGATTATCAAGTACCTTTGGTTTATTGTAATTAAGGAACGAATTTGTCTGAGAAAGCCCAACCTTCACTTTCTCTTTAGTGCTACCTGAGCATTTGAGATTTTTGAGGTTGTTCATTAGCTGGTTGATACGAGATTGGCTTGTTTGAAGAGAATTAGAGATGTCAGCTAAGCTAGGACATTTTGCAGGATCTAGCTCCGGCTGGGAATGGGATGCTTTGGCCTTGTTCAGCTTTGGGATTATGTTTGTTTCTTTCTTATGAGTATCTGGGGATGGTTCAATACTTTTAGATTCATCTGGAGGTGCAAATACTTTGGTGATTATTGTTCTGATGATGCCAGTTCCTACTTCTTCAGGTTTAAATCCTCCAAAATATTTGATAGGATCAAACCTTCCTTCTTGAATTGCTGTATTTTGCTTAAGTACTTCTCTTTCAATTTTTGATTTATCATCCCAGTTGAAATCATTAGCACAATTTTTCTTGGGTTTCGGATTTTTGGAATAATCCACTTGAGCTTTAAATACAGAGTTCATTTTTCTACAAAATCAAACAGAAATGCTTACTCAAAAAGAGAAGTTTTATATGAAGAATTTGCTGTAGTAGATACTGTCTGATTTTGATGATAAAAATGCTCAAATTCCTTATTATCAAGCTTGGCAACTCTAAATCTCTTATTCTCCTTCATAAACTCTCTATCCTCCAATTTCACTTTCTTTCAGTAATCCCTAAACCACCTCACCTCTGACCCCACTCACCCCATAATTCCAAAATCCCAAAAAATTCCAAAATTTCACTTACTTAACTTTGGCTCATTTTTGGGGCGAATTCTCTTTCCCTCACCTAAATCCCATTTTTCTTCCGTTCATCCTAAAAACTCCTTCACTATCACTCCTACCTTTTCTCAGTACCCAAAATTCGAGGCCTGCATTACATTTTCCTTATCCGCCCCACACATGAAGGCATTAAGACAAGTGCTTGACTGGGAGGTACTCATTTTTTAAATATTTTAAATAAATTTAGAGATTTCAAATAGATTTTATTACGATGGGGTTTTGGGGTTTTGGGGTTTTGGGGTTTTGGGGTTTTGGGG